ATCTATCTATCTATCTATCTATCTATCTATCTATCTATCTATCTATCTATCTATCTATCTATCTATCTATCTGATATTGACAATAGAACATAATAAACATCAAATATTTCAATTAAAACTGTTCTGTGGTCAGACAAATCAAAATTAACTTATTTTTAAAGTTATATCCACACTAAAGAGGAGAGGAACCATCTGGCACAGTTKAAAAGCCTGMCTCTCTGATGGTGTAGGGGTGCATTAACGGCTATGAYGTGGGAAGCTGTATAAAGTCACCATCAAAGCAGAAAATTTTCTACAGGTTTTGTAACAATATATGCTCCATCCAGACATCATTTTCAGAGAAAGCCTTGCATATTTCAACACGACAGTACCAAACCACACACTGAATCCATTCTAACAGCGTGGCTTTGCAGTAGMGGAATCCAGATGTTGAACTGGCCAACAAACGCACAACTTTGTTCCTAGTTCTAGTCTTACAGCTAGAGCTCCTCCTGTCAGTCCTTACATCTGGTCATTTGATTTTCTGTCTTTCACTRTCTTCATTAAGCCCTGACTGAGGACGATGAGTGAGAGGAGGTTAATTGGCGAGTGAGGGATTAAGATCCAACCTCACKACTGGAAGGTTTTCTGTCTGTAGAACAGAGTGCAGCTCAAAGCCACGGCAGTTTGAYGCAGGTACAGTGGCAAGTCGTTAGGGCTGAAAGGTTGCCCCCCCCCCAAATTGCTCCTCATTATATCAACACAGCTGTACTGCACTGTGTGGTACATTGACTTCTCAATGGGGCGGGATGAGTCTGGAGAAAATGAAGCTGCCACTAGTGATGATGATGTCAGCGAGGCACCTTGGGACGCCGCTGAGACATCACTGCGTATTATGGAGACAGGAAGAAGAGAGGGGATGACCACGGGGATACGTGTGCCATGAGTCAGTTTATTAAGAAGCCTTTCAGATGCTGGATGCAGGACTATTTTCACCTTTTCTGTCAGTTTTTCCTCGTAGGCATCTTAGACACAGCAGCTGTGCTCCTTGCATAGCAATGGCAGTGATCCAGCACTTTATAACTGAAGTGTAATTTAACACAAACATTCAKGATCCACAAAGGAGAAACCCTGCTAAACCTTATTTCCTATAATTAAATAGGTTGTTATATCATTAAAACCAAATTTTAAAAATCCTTGGGATTATTTTGTTTCCATTCATCATTTTTAATTAGGGAACTCTTGAGGCGCACTGTTTTTTCCCCAAAAAAGTGTTTATTATATCTTCAGGATCATCTTTCTTTTTGCCTTACTGTATTTTTCAAGATTTTTCCAAGATTTGCAAAACTTCAATCCCATCAGAATTCAGCTTCAAACTGCGCTGAGGCACAGTTGTTTTCGATTAATCATTAATCACGCTATGATTGGAGCTGTGTCAGCTTTAGCTGGGACAAAAGTCAGGAAAAAGTTGCTCCTAAAAGKTTAACACAGATACTATCAAAGTTGGCAAAGACAAATTTTCTCTAATAGGTAATACATTTCTGTATTCTCCCAGCTTTACTCCATTAATGCAAGTARAAGTGATAAACAATGAGCTCATTTCGTCACTTCGCTAGCATTAAGGATGGGCAACTGGTGGCCCCTGGGCCACATCTGGCCTGTGGGTAACTTCTGTCCATCCCACCAATGGAGAAAAAAAGTTTTGGAGGTTGACTATCTGTTTACAGAATTTTAAGGTAAACTTATATTAAAATCCTTCATTGCAGACAGCATCTCTAAGCAGATTAAATACAAGTCGTCACTCAGTAYACGTTTTTGCATTTGTTGGTTTAATAAATGTAGAAATACAAACATTTWTTTAAATGGCAGTTTTATTACATTTGGATTAGCGACATGCGCTATGTGGACCTCTGATAGTGTCAATTTTTTTGCCCCTTCTTTCATTTAAGTTTCCATTCCTGATATCCATCCATGCATATGCATTTACCCTCATCGCCTCACACGGTTTGTCAATAATAACTTAAAATGGAAATTGCTTTGATATTATCTTCACTGAACAGCAAAACAGAGCGCTTAATGATGAAACAGGTGGCAGAGTGAGCCAGAAAAAACTAACTGCAGGTATAATTTTTTGTTTTACTCGAGTTATTTAACGTGCCTCAGCTCACCGTGTTGGTTTCAGGCACTTAATTGCGTTTCACCTCAGAGCTGTTCTCTGTTTCTGCACGTGAGACAGACGAGTGTGGGGGAAAATAACGAAGAGCAGAATACAAACAAAGGAAAAACACATAAAGAACCAGACAGCATGACATTGAAAGGCACAAAGAGAGAATGTTCAGATGTAAAGACAAAAAAAAAAAAAAAAAAAAAAACGAGCAGAAGACAAATAGAGAGGTAAAAAGAGAGTGGCATATTTTCATTTGCATAAGATGCTGAAATTGATTTTCCAGCCTAATTGAATTGTGAGGGACAGATTGGCTGAACGCAGTAAAGTTGTTCTGCATCGACCTCAGCGGTTCCCTGATTGATTACAGAGATGAAAAAAAAAAAAAAATACAATCCTGTGTCTCTTCCTCAGCATTCGGTGCGCAAGCATTCGACTGCATACCGAGGAGATTTACAGGTGTTTTCACTTTGTGTCTCCCAAAAAATATAACCTTATCTTTAGCCCTTAAATTTATGCCAGCAGATTTAACGAAATGCGAAAAAAAAACAGTTGGACATGGACTTTGCCTGATTTATCTGGGGATTTGCTGCTTTCTATCAAACAGCTCACAGCAAGAGCAAAGGGAGGGGAATAAATTAAAGAGAGTTAGAACTATCTCTAAAGCTTTGTCAACACATATTTCCTAAACTAATTTCCATTTACTCATTATTGGTGTTTTCTGTCTTATTTTGAAGGCTACTTTCCTTCTGTGTCCAGCCTCTATCACTGTGATGGAACTGTTCTGCCACTTTGTTTACTTGTGATTTTAGTTTAACTTTGCCTGACTTCCTTTGAGTCTGTCATTAAAAAAAGAAGGGAAAAAAAAGAGGCGTTTTGAGCAACCGGAAAATGAAAAATTGGAAGCTATAAACTAGWCGAGGTGGATGTGTTGAATAACCATGCCAGGCCAATTCAGGCCAAACCACGAAATGAGTCGTAATTGGAGAAATGATGTGCATCAATAAGGGCGAGTTAAATATAAAGCCTGCAAGTTAACAAAA